ATTTCAAATACAATTTCTGGTGTTCTGCCTTTCTTATTTTTCACTGTTCAACACTGGGCCTGAAAACAGATAGAAACAGGGCTAAATAAAAAAAAGTAATTTTTAAAATAATTGATCCTAGAGACTTCTCTCTTTTCTTCACAAAAATAAAAGGTGAATGCCAAACGCATCTTTGAGCTTCTAGTATTTACTATTGCAATTAAATTATTGCCATTATGTTAATAGTGACAGCAACAAGAGAAAAGTTTCTTGTTAAAATTGCCATCTCCACCTTCTTTTTCAAGCAAGAGATTTGCTTAAGTCCCACGGAGGAGAGGAAAACACAATTTGCTCCTTTGTATTCTCTCTTTTCCTGTTTCTCTACAAAAGTATTCAACCACACCTGAATTATCCTATACACAACAGAAAGAATATACAGATGTAACAGGAGAGTCAGTCTGTGTACTCCAACCACTATGATCAAGCCTATCAACTACATTATAGAAGAGTTTACTTTTGCTGAATTGTTATGTTCTGTTTCAGAGATATCTTTTCATCACTGAAGAAAACATCAAAAGATTTTTAGGCTTTGACATTCATATCCAGGATAAGTTTCAAAGTCTTTCATCAACCACTGAAACTGGATTAGCACCAGAAAGTATTTAACAGTCTCTACCTCACTAGAGAAGAAATTGAGGGACCTTTGGCTTAGCAAGAATCTATAAAATGTGATTATTAATTTCAAGATATCACACATTTAAAATGGAATTCTTCAGCGTTCTTTGGGAAGGTTGACTCTAAAATTATGAACTGATGAAGAGCTGATGAAGAGTCTAACTGAAGATAATGTCAAAATCCAGAAATAAAATAATTAAACTAATAGTTATGAAGGACAGGCTGGGAGAGCCAATTTAACAAGTTAAGATGGGCTTATAAAAGTTTCAGGTCAGAAAGGAAACACTGCTTGTCCATTTAATTTCCAAATATTACTCTTGTTTCAACTTACAGTATATTAGAGGAGTGCATAAAATCAGTCTTTAAATTCATCTCTGTCCTTACAGAAACAGAGAACAAAATGTTTACTGGTTTGCAGTTCAGCAGTGATGGCCCCAAGCTTGGCCTCTTTTTAGTCACTGAAATGTATGGAACACTTTTCAAGAAACCCACACAATCTGGAAGCAAAAGTGACAAAATAATGTCACTGAAATTGCCTTTATTCAAAAACACTGCAAAGGTGGTTTGTTTTCTGGAACAAGTCAGACCTGGATGGTGGCATTTTAATTGCTGACTTTTCCTAGCTCTTATCATCGGTACCAGATGATGTATTTAGTTCTAAAACAGTTCAGTATTGCTGGAAAACTGGGAAGATGCTGTGCTGCAGCCGAAGCCACAAAACACATCCAGTTCACAAAACGAACTAATGTATGCTTAAAAATTGCAATAGTTAAAAAGGGAAAAATGTAAAATTCTTGAAATACTATTTGAAAATAAGGTAACTGCTTGTAGAAAATGGATGCAGAACTCCTGCAGCTTTTGAACAGGCAAGACATGAAAATGTGCCTGTAAGGCACAGAACTGCCTTTTTTATAAAGCTGCATGAGCATGACAAAATTAGCAATTTCAACTTTTCAAGAATTAATTTAAAATACATTTTGCATTATTCTTTTAGCTATTTAAATGATATTTCATGACAGCATTATAACAGAACATTACGGATTCTATCAGAAAGACAGAAAAGGAAAACAGTCATGTTCAAAATCAGAAAGATAATGTGAATTTGCAGTTTTCTATGATTCACTGTAATGTCATCATTAATCCATGTGTTAATACAAATCAAAGCATTTAAACAGTTGTGATTTTTATGAAATTTAGTCATTTAGTTAACTTATAAAATCATTTTTGTCCATTGCAATGCATAATGTACAGCAATGTAATTTTTTCTTGTTCTACAATGTTCCTGTATTAAAATTAAACTATTCAAAAATCATATTTGCAGAAATATTTACTGATAATTAAAATATATATTCAAGGAGAAATTTTAGCTATTGAAGTTCATGTTCATTCAGTAAATCAGAGCCTATAATCTAACATTTCTACATTGGACCTCTGTTATCAATTGCTTGCAGTAACTAATGTCATAAATTTTTCAAAACATAAGAAAAAAGGAAATATGGTAAATAAGGAGATTTGAGACAGCACTTTAAATTATTATTTTCTGTGGCTAAAAACAAAGAATAGTCCACCAGAAACATTAAACTATCAGAACCAACAAAAGTCTCATAGTATTAGACTTAATAGTAGATTTTATTATTCAGTCATTGTCTGTACAGCAAGCACATGACTAAAGATATAGCTACTAGTCTTGAGTCTCAGTATCTGTCATTTCATGCAGATCACTGCACAGATTCAAATTTGTGTGATGTATTTTAATAGTTTTAGACCTACAGTGGAGGTACTTTTGCAGCTCATGCAGTTTGTAAAATGCTTGCCCATACCAGTTTCCCACAGACAGTCTGAGATTGCAAGGCCCAGTTCTCAGCTCAAGTAAGGTCCAGTGGAGCTACTGATTTATCCCAGCTGTAGATTTGAATCTGTTGACATGCTGAATTATTGTTGATCCCAATGCAAGTTTCTATGTGTATATTATGAGCATTACAGTATATGACCCTATGTAGCTCCTGAGTCATAGCCATTTAGTTAACTGAAAAAACAAATGTTTACTTCTCGCAGTGCTGCTGAGCCATTAACTGTGATTATGATTAAACTGCAGAAAAAAACCCCTATGTTTTAGTGTGCTTCTCCATTCACGGAAAAAAAGTTAAGACCCTGATTTTAAGATCAGCATCCCTGTTGACGATTAATGGCAAGCGACAGTCAAAGCTGAAAGAACAAAGCATGATTTTCAAATATCTGACAGAGTATGAAGAACTGGCAAATCTTAAATTCTCTCCTGCTGTCAGATATCATACTTCTATTTAGAGTACATTTTGTGCATATCGCAAAATTAACTAAAATACCAAATCATACAGATTTAAGAACATACTTCAATAAGACTGATTCATATCTGGGTGCTGCTAATTTTGAATATATTAAGACAATATATTTATCTTTTTGATTTAACATTTAAATTTGCAAACATCCCATAGGCCAAAGAAAACAAAAAACTAATAAATATGCTGAAAAACTCCATACCTCAGTATGAAATCCTGACCCCTTCTCCAACTAAGTACACACAGTCCAAATACACTGAGAATGCCAAGCTACAGGGGCCCCTCTGTGGGGAAACCTGTATTTCACTCAGCAGCATCCGTCAGCCAAAACAGAAGGGTAGGGACAGATGCTAGAGAAAGGATGACACTTTAAAGTGGTGGCCAATTTCAGAATGAGCGTGTGTTTCTGTGTACAATTAAGTCAAGCCCATACTTGTACTAATGCCGTTATTTTGTCTGGATTTATGTGCACAACGTAACTATCACTCTGGGCTCATTTTAGTGCAGGTTTATGGTGCTCATCAGGCTCCCGGTCCTGCAGTCCACCCAGACTAGGCCATTTGGTGTCACATCTCCCAGCAGGGTCACACAAGGCAACGAAGGAGAGAGCAAGTGTGTCGCACAACTCCTTCGACTTCTGCAGCAAATAAATTCTTTCACACTTGGAAGACGATCGCCAACTTAAAATCCACAGGTCTTGGCCTGAGGCTTGTTTAGGCAGCACCGTGCCGATGCTGCCGACCGGTGCTGCGCTCCCTCCGTTTTGGGAAACCCCTGCACGCGGCAGCGGCCAGGTTGGAAGGCTAGGTAAAGGCAGCCAGGAAACTATCACGTCCGTTTTCTCTCCTGTTGATTAAAAAAGGCCCGGGTGGAGGTTTGGGTAACTTGTTGAAGCCAGAGCTAAAACAAAGTTTCCGTTAGCTTACAAGGGAAGCCGTTTGAGACGTAGTTGCTTGTCAGGGGAACGGCTGTCGCGGTGCCCGTCCGGGACCCGTTTATAAATCTAGCACCAGCTCGGGGAGCCCTTCTCGCCCCACGTACGCAACCTCCGCGACGGGACCGGCACTCGACAGC